TCCAAAATGGCCACCACTTGTAAACATTCAAAATGGCTGTGCCCTCAGTCACTTTAAATATCCAAAATGGCTGCCATGTGTAAACAATCAAAGGCTGCGCCCTCCAGACAGCAGAAAGTCCACAGCTCAGGTTGTCTCCCTCCTTGCTGTTTCCCTTCCTAGTCATAGGCCACCAGAGCAGTTGTCCCTGCTGCCGTTGGTCACCAGGGCTGATCTTTAGGTCAATTCTCAGTTCCCAACACCACTTGGAAATATTCAGGCTGTTGGTCTCATCAGAGTAGCTGACAGTCCACAGCTCCGACCGTCTCTGTACTCACTATTTTCGTTCAGGTTTTTCCACTAGTTGGTGCCTAATCCACTTCTGTATAGCTCCTTTCGAAGCTCAGGGCTCCAGGATTATCTTCTGTATCTCTGTCAATTGGTTTTTCTTTTCTTTGTTGAAGAGGGTTTGTGTCACTTGTCTGCCTGTTTCTCCATCTTACCAGAAGTTTGTTCATTCTTTTCACAGTCCATGGTATTTTCATTACTCTTTGCCAACACAATTCAAAGGTATTGACCCTTCCTCAGTCTTCCTTATTCATTGCCAGCTTTCACATGCATATGGGGCTATTGAAAATACCACGACTTGGGACAGATGCACCTTAGTCTTCAAAGTGACATCTTTTCTCTTTAACACTTTAAAGAGGTTTTTGCAGCATTTGCCCAGTGCAATGCATCATTTGATTTCTTGACTACTATTTCCACGAGCATTGATTATGGATCCAAGTAAAATGAAATCCCTTTCAATCTTTTCTCCATTTATCATGATGCTGCTTATAGGTCCAGTTGTGAGGATTTCTGTTTTCTTTATGTTGAGGTGTGATCCATACTGAAGGCTGTAGTCTTTCATCTTCATCAGGAAGTACTTCAAGTCACCTTCACTTTCAACAAGCAAGGTTGTGTCATCTGCATATTGTAGGTCGTTAATGAGTCTTCCTCCAATCCTGAGGCCATGTTCTTCTTCATATAGTCTAGCTTCTTGGATTATTTGCTCAGCAGACACAGTGAGTAAGGATGGTGAAAGGATATAACTTTGACTCACAACTTTCCTGATTTTAAACCATGCAGTGTCCCCTTGTTCTGTTTGAGCAACTGCCTGTTGGTCTAGGGGCAGGTTTTTGGTTGCATTGCTCGTGAATGCCTAGAAATGGAGGATAAGCTGCTGAGTCTGGAGGCAGCAAGACCGACAGGTGGCTGTCTCCTCTACCCCCTCAAATCTTATCTTAGAGGAAGATATGCTCCTTGTCCTGTTGCTGGCTAATCCTTCCACTTTGGCCCCTAGATGACTGTGATGGCTCATTTATGTGTCAGCTTGGCTGTGTTACAGTGCCGGTTGTTTGGGCAAACACTAGTTGCTGTTATGAAGTAGATACACGTGATTAAATCGATTGTCCTTAAGGCGCTCTGGTGGCATAGTGGATAAGGCACTTGACTGCTAACCGGAAGGTCAGTGGTTCAAACCCACGAGCTGCTCTATGGAAAGAAGATGGGGTGATCTACTTCCGTAAAGACTTACAGCGTCAGAAACCCAATAAGGGTTTCTATGAGTCAAAATGACTCAATGGCAGTAAGTTTGGTTTTGGTTAAGTAAAGCAGATGTACTTAAGGACCAAGGTATGTCTGACCAAAGCCATGGTCTTTTCAATCATCTCATATGTACATGAAAGCTGGACAATGAATAAGTAAGATCGAAGAAGAATTGTTGCACTTGAATTATAGTGTTAGTGAAGAATATTGAATATACCATGGAAGAACAAACAAATCTGTCTTGACAGAAGTACAGCCAGAATACACCTTAGAAGTGAGAATGATGAAACTTCATCTCTCCTACTTTGGTCATAGTATCAGGAGGGACCAGACCCTGGAAGGACATAGTGTTTGGTAAAGTAGAGGATTGGCAAAAAGAGGAAGGCCCTCAGTGAGACGGGCTGACAGAGGCTGCAGAGAAGAGCACCATGCGTAAGGACGGCCATGTACGGTGGCTATGAGTCAGAACTGATTTGACAGCACCCAATGACCACAGCATCAAAACAGCAGGTTACCTTCCATAAGGAGATGGGCCTTATCCAATCAATTGAAGCCCTTAAGAGCAAAAATGGAGTTTTCCTGGCGGTGCTCTACTTCCAGACTATATATAGACATTTTGTCAGATCTCTGCCACTCTTCACTCATCCCAAAGCCCGATCACCAGATTTTGAGCAAAAGCCTGCAATCTCTAACCAATAATTGGACTTAACAGATTTGGGGCTTTCCAACTCCCTACAGTTACATGAGCCAATTCCTTAAAATAAATCTGTCTAGATAACTGTAGATACACATGCATAGACACAAACATACATCCATTTCACTGATTGTTTTTCGAAAGAACTCGAAGACAATGACCCTTCTGGCTCCTCTAGTTTTATTGATGGGAATGCCTCTGCCAGCCCAGGCCTTATAACTACAGGCTAGAAACATGCTCCACTTTTCCAAAGCAAAAAAAAAAAAAAAGCCATAACCATCCCTCTATAACCGTCCCTCTATGTGTGTCCCTCCTGTATCCTAGTCTTAGGGTTCTTCCAAGTGAAACTTCTTGGGAAAATACTCAAGGCTCCCCATTCCTAATTCCTCACCATCCATTTACTCGTAAATTGTTTAAAATGATAAGATCTCACACATGTAAAACAGTATAAAACAGAATTTAAAGCATTATAATACAACACACACCCTTGTACCTCCCACACAGATTAAGAAATAGGATATAACCGATGACTTCTCCATCATAATCCTGTCCACAACCAGCTGAAGTTTGTAGTTATCATTCCTTATACTTTCCTCCTTGATAAATAAAATATGCAGAGATGTGTTGCTTAATTTCCACACATTTGGGAATTTTCCAAGTATCTTTAGTTATTTATTTTTCACTTAATTCTATTATAGTCAGAAGAATCTTTAAATTCGCTGAGACTTGTTTTATGGTCTTTCTTGGTGAACGCTCCATGTGCACACAAAAAGATTCTGTATTCTGCAGTTCTTGTGTATAATGTTCTATAAACCAAACCAAACTCACTGCTATTGAGTTGGACCTGACTCATAACGACTCCTCATTGGGTTTCCAAGGCAGTATCACTACAGAAGTAGACTGCCCAGTCTTGCTTCCACAGAGTGGCTGGTGGTTATATATAAATACTATATATACTATATATATATATTTATAGTAATATTGTTGTTGTTGTTGTTATGTGCCATCGAGTCAGACCTGACTCACAGCGACCCCTCCTTGGGTTTCCAAGGCTATGGAAGTAGATTGCCCAACCTTCCTTCTGAGGAGTGGCTGGTAGATTTGAACTGCCAGCCTTCTAGTTGGCTGTCAAATGCCTTAGACAGTATGCCACCAGAGCTCCCATAACATTCTATAAAAGGTAATTAATTATGTCAGGTTGTTAGGAGTTTGCATACTATCTCAAAAAGCAGAGCTTTTTTTAAAGGAAAAAAATTGATGAATTTGACGTTATCAAATTATTCACAAGTCAAATCCTCACAAGGAGCCCTGGCGGTGCAATGGCTAAGCACTTGGTTGCTATCCAAATGTTGGTGTCTGAACCCACCGGCAGCTCCACGGAGGAAACACCTGATGATCTGCTCCCATGAGGGTTCCAAAACCCAAACTCACTGCTGTCGAGTCAGTTCCGGCTCATAGTGACCCCCATTGCATTTCTAAGGCTATCAGTCTTGACATAAGCAGACCGTCTCATCTTTCTTCTGCAGAATGAGTGGTGGGTTACAACTGCCAACCTTTTGGTTAGCAGCCAAATGCCTTAACCATGATACCGTTAGAGCTCCTTTCCCTATAAGGCTTACAGCCTAGGGAGCCATATGGGGCACTTCTACTCTGTCACATAGGATTGCTATGAGTCAGAATGGGCTTGGCAATGCACAATTTGAAAAACAAAATCATCACAAACAAGTAACGTACTTGGAGAAGACACATAAAATGCATAAAACCAACAAACAGTTTGTATTCAAAATCAATTAAAAAAATCCTGTAAACGAATGAGAAAATGGCAAACAGCGCAATAGGAAAACAGGCAAAGGATTTGAACAAGAAACTCATAGCAAGGAAAACCTAAGTGGGCAGTGCAGCTGGCAAACGTTCAGCCATGTTAGTAATTGGGGAAATGCACAATCAAGTGACAGTGACATGCCAGCTTCATCTATCATGTGTCTGTGGATAGTGGGACACAGGATTCTAAGTTTATTTTTCCGATCTGGAGTCAGTTTGTCCAACACTGTTTATTGAAGTTCATCATTTCCCCAATGATCTGTAAGGGCCTCTTGATCACATAGGCTCCCACACACATTAGAGTCCGTATCTGCACTTTTGATTCTGTTCTAGGGATCCATTTGTCTATCTTTGCATCAATAAAAGCTTTATAATGATTCTTGAAGGAAGATTTTGCATGTTTATTCTCTTTATGATTGTCTTGGTTACTCATTTACTTTTCCATGTGAATTTTAGAACCAACATGTCTATCATCTAATTTCAAAACTAACAGAAAAGAGAGAAAGAGAACTTACGGATTGCACTTTTTCTTCTTTTCTTCTCCATAGGCCAGGTTCTTACAGGCTTTGACGCATATTTCTAAACAATGGGTTTTGAAGCAATAAAGAACAGCAAACTCTATTTCTCCAGTGACATTCGTGTTGTCAAAATTGCCCATCTCTGTACAAGTGCTGTTAATGCTAATTAAACTCCCCTGAAATAAAAAATGGCAGAAATAATAAATCATTTCACAGTTAACCAGTTTTTATTTGCATTCCGGTTTCACGAAATCAAATAAATCAAAATTAGCACAGTGTATGTATCCTGGCTCACATCAAGTTAATAATCCACCAGCTTGTACTTTGCCAAGCAAGTTGCCACCTTTTCTGTCCTTTGGTGACGGGGACTCCTCAGAAGGACCTGTCTTACCCAGATATGGTCTTTGTCTAGCAATCAGCGTTACACAGTGGCTGCCACAATGGACTGAAGCATGCATAGCAAGGATGGTGAGAATGGCGAGGCCTGGGCCGTGTTTCATTATGTCGTAATAGGGGTCCCTCTGAGTGGAAGCCAACTCGGCAGCACCTGACAACTACAACAAAGTTGCACACTTTCATTCTTTAACGTGAATCACTTGGGATGAAGGAGACTATCTCCAGTTCAATTCTGCGAAGAAAACACTCAGGAGGGCAGATAAAAATCCATGCCAGGGATGTTGTTGTTGTTGTTGTTGTGTGCCATCAAGTCGGACCCGACTCATAACGACCCCTCCTTGGGTTTCCGAGGCAGTATCACTACGGAAGTAGATTGCCCCATCTTCCTTCCGAGGAGTGGCTGGTGGGTTTGAACCGCCAGCCTTCTGGTTAGCAGTCAAGTGATAGCCAGGTGGAAATCACAGGGCATGGTGGCTAAGTGCCTGTGACTGGGAACCAGATTCACCTGGATTTGAATGCTGGTTCTGCTACTTACAGGCGGTGGTCAAAAGTGGAAGAATTAATACTGGTATCATAGGCTTATGGTGACGAGTCAATGAAATAAGGCATGTGAAGTGTGTAGTCAAGGTAACTTTAAGTATTGTGTGCAAATGTTTATGGGTATCTAAAACACAGAAGGAAACCACCATGGTAGGTTAGGACATTCCTAGATTAGATAATGTGGGTAAGTGACACAGAATGCCTGGGCCTTAAAAAACAAGACAAACAACTTTATCACTATGAAATGTATGTAAATATTGTCAGAATCCATGGCTGCAGGTTTGGTTTTTTGGTTAACCTCAGTGCTTACTCTGAAAACAGAGAAGCCGAACTGATTGCAGCTTCCATTCCCCACCTAGTTCCTTCATACCGTAAAACATCTTGAAAAGAAACTGAGAAGAAAACCTGGGCCAGAGGACGAGACCAGTAGAAGGAAAGTCAAAAGAAAAGAAAATCAACAACACACCAGAGGGAGAAAATCAGAATGAATTCTGCGGGAACACAGCCAGCTTCCCTGCACCCAGTGACTGGGTCTGAAAAATGTCATCTGCTCACACCCACACAACGTTTGAATGGAAAACAATTCTCACATTTTCTGCACTCAACAAGGCAGGGAGTGGTGAAAGCATGAATGAGCAAGGTACTGAAAGGTAAAGATAGAAGATAATGGGCTGAGGAGCTTGGCAAAACATGTGAGCTGCTTGGGAAAAGAACAGTGTAAACAGAAAGGAAGTTCTGGCAGGTAAAATGCGTTCACCCTGGGACTCCACCTCTGGTTGTATCAGATTACAGAGCATTAGATCAACGTTTCTTCTAATAACAATTAGAAAAGCTGAACTGAAAAAAAAAAAAAAAACTGCTTCAAGACCTTGCAGAGCTACCAAGAGAGCCAGAATGCAGGGCTCTAAGGTCCTAAAAAGAAGAGGTGCACCTCCAAAAAAGCAGGATCTTCTGACCTGCTTTTCCCTTGGAGGCATTTGTGAATCCGTAAGTAGTACACAGCTGAAAACTGGGCAAATCAAGCTATAGGAAGAAGCTAAGGGGCTCAGAAACTGAGCAAAAATTTTGGCAGTTGGACAGAATTGGGAGAGAACAATTAGAGCCCAGAGCTAGGAAGGCACCAGAACTGAAGGAGCTAGGATCCCAGAGAACAGGAAGATGCGTTGAGGTGAGACCGGCGAGGTGCTGTGTGGCCCCTCCAGGTACCTGCTTGGTCGGAAGCTGTGTCTCAAAGGCTGAGAAGCTGAAGAATGGTCTCAGAAGTTTCACAGCACCAGGGAGAGAAAAGAGGAATTCAGAACTCTGGTAGCATAGTGCCTAAGGCACTTGACTGCTAACCAGAAGGCTGGCAGTTCAAACCCACCAGCCACTCCTCGGAAGGAAGATGGGGCAATCCACTTCCATAGTGATACCGCCTTGGAAACTCAAGGAGGGGTCGCTATGAGTCAGATCTGACTGATGGCAGGGAGTTTGGGTGAGTTATTTGCTAAAAGCAAAAGTAAATCCTCCCTGGAAGAAGAAAACAACTTCTTGTAATTTTTCATACATATTATCCAGGATTCAACAAACCATTATAAGAGATGCCAGCATTAAAAGGGGACCAGCTGTCTTGGTTTTTTTAGGACTGAGGAGGTTCCTGGGACATAGGACTTGAAGTCTAAAACTAGGAAAGTCCTGGGAAAACCATAAACCAAGGATTCTGGAAATAAATGATCAAAAAGAGGGGAAAAAAAGGACAATAAAAATAGACTCACATATAGGCAATATAAAACATGAACTTTAAAATAACTGTGATCAGTATAGTCAAGAAAATAAATGACAAGTTGAAGAATTTCTCCAGAGAACTAGAATATATCTTAAATAATAACAACAAAAATGAAGACCTAGAAAATTAGATAACTGAAATTAAGACCTCCACAAGTTAATTTTACAGATGATTAGACATAACTAAAGGGAGAATTGGTGAACTGGAAGATGCATCGATAGAAAATATCTAGAATGAAGTACAGAGAAAAAGGTGAATGGAAAATAGAAGAAAAGGTGTAAGATAAATATATCATTTGGAAAAGTAAACTATGTATTTATAGCCCCACAAAGAGGGAAAATGGGGCAGAAGGTATATTTGAGGAGATAGTGGCTGAGAATGTAAACTGCAGATCCAGGAAGCTTTAAGAATCCCATGTGGGAAAGTATTAAATAGTAAAACCATATACAGACACAGCATAAAAAAATTCCTGAAAATCAAAGATAAAAAGAAAATATTAAAGGCAATCAAAGGGGGGAAAAAAACGACACATGACCTTGGATGGAGGAAACAATAAGACTTATTAGCTTACTTCTCAACAGAGATGACAGAAGCCAGAAGATCTGATTTATCCAAAAGGAGTGATGACTGGAAGCAGGGGAGGGGGAAGGGAAATAGAACAGGGGGGAAATGTAGACCACAAATAGATACTAGAAAAAAATAGAAAACAATAGAAAAGATAAAGGATTTAAACCCAAATATATCAGTAATTAAGAAGCTCTGGTGGCACAGTGGGTAAGGCATTTGGCTGCTAACCAGAAGACTGGTGGTTCAAACCCACCCGCTGATCCACAGGAGGAAGCATAAAAAAATACCCCAATGGGGGGGCAGCATGAGTTGGAATCAACTCATTGGCAGTGGTTTTGTTTTTGTTTTTTGGTATATCAGTAATTATAATAAAAGATAACAGAATACATAGTATAAGAAGAGACAAGCATTGTCAGACTGGATTTTTAAAACTACAACTATATGCTGCTTAAAAGAGACACAGTTTAAATACAAGGATTTAGAAAAGTAGGGAGAAGGATAGATATCATGCAAACATAACCAAAGAAAGCAATGTAACTATATGAATATCAGATAACGTAGACTTTTGAATCAAGAAAGTTATTAGAGACAAAGGGAAGTGTGTGATCATTATAAAAGGGTGAACACACTTGAAAGGAGTTGTTGCTGTTAGGTGCCAACAAGTCGGTTCTGACTCCTCGTGACCCTGTGAACGAGAGAATGAAACACGGCCTGGTCCGGCGCCAGCCTCACAGCCACGGCTCTGCTTGAGTTCACTGTTGCAGCCACTGTGTCAATCCATCTCGTTGACGGTCTTCCTCTTTTTGGCTCACCCTCTACTTTACCAGGATGATGCCCGTCTCCAGGGATGGTCCCTCCTGATGACACGTCCAAAGTGCATGAGATGAAGTCTTGCCATCCTCGCTTCTAAAGAGCATTCTAGCTGTACTTCTTCCAAGACAGATTTGTTCATTCTTCTGGCAGTCCATGGCAACATTCTTCGCCAACACCATAATTCAAACGCATCAATTCCTCTTTAGTGTTTCTTATTACTGTCCAGTTGTTGCATGTACATGAGGGTTTTGAAAATACCATGGGTTGAGTCAGGTGCACCTTAGCCCTCAAAGTGATATCTTTTTTTTTTTTTTTTTTTTGAAAAAGGTGACAACTCTAAAATAATAACATTGCCTCAACATAAATGAAGGAAAAATCGACAGAACCAAAATTAGAAATAGACAAATCCACAGAGATTTTAACAAACTACTCTCAATAACTATTCTCAGTAAGAAGTTGTCAAGGATTTCCTTTTACTTGGATCCACAATCAACACCCATGGAAGCAGTAGTTGGGAAATCAAATAATGTGTTGCATTGGCAAAATTTGCTGCAAAGACTCTTACAGTATTAAAAAGTGATGATATCACTTTGAGGACCTAAGGTATGCCTGCCCCAAGCCATGGTATTTTCACTCACCTCATATGCATGCGAAATCTGGACAATGAATCAGGAAGACCAAAGAAGAATCTATGCATTTGAATGATGGTGTTGGCAAAGAATATTGAAAGTACCATGGACTGCCAGAAGAATGAACAAATCTGTCCTGGAAGAAGTACAGTCAGAATGTTCCTTCGAAGCAAGAACGGCCAGCTTCATCTCACCTACTTTGGTCAGGTTGTCAGAAGGGACCATTCCCAGGAGAAGGATATCATGCTAGGTAAAGTGGAGGGTCAGTAAAAAAAGGGAAGGCCCTGAGAATAGTTATTGAGAGTAGTTTGTTAAAATCTCTGTGGATTTGTCTATTTCTAATTTTGGTTCTGTCAATGGATTGACCCAGTGGCTGTAATGATGGGCTCAAGCATTGCAGGGACTGTGAGGATTCCCACTGGGCAGTGTTTCGTTCTGTGGCATGTAGGGTCCCGCTGAGTCACAG